CATTAATGAAAAAGCACAAGAGACTGTTAATACATTGTTACCTTAAAACTGCAAATCCCCAATGTAAAAAGAATGCAGGTTAGGATATAAAGCAAGTATATGAAAATTGCTTTTCAGCCTACTGGATGCAGAAATATTGCAGCATGTCCCATCGCTTTGATAATATCTCACAGCAAAAGGTACTTGAGTCATATTTAGTGTACGGCCATTATAAGTTATGCAATCAGCCAGGAACAGGTACCTGATGTAGACTCCTGGAATCACATGTTCTAACCAACTTTTTCCTTGTGCATGAGGAAAGTTCAAAATAAAGGTAAAAATAATAATAATAATTAAAAAAGCAGTAATGTATCTGATTTCTACAGCATTTTACAAGTGTCTTACAAATACTAAGTAACCACCTCAATAATCCCACGACAAAATGTTACCAGCATCTATTTCAACATGGAAGCTACATGAAGAAGATATGAAAACGAAGCTGTAGCTTTAGACCTCAGTAATAACAAAAGGCCTACAAGTGCTCCAGCAGACAAAAATACACAAACACCAACCAAATGAAACATCACTGTTAGCAAGCTCAAGCAGTGACAGGATTCCATGGCCACCATCCCTTTGTTCTGAGGTCTTCAATTACAACCTTTGCTTCCTGATCCATGTGAAACAACATCAAATCAATACAGAATAGGTTGTTGGGGTTTTTTCTTACTGCTCTTAAACAAAACAGCTTTCTTGACAACGCACACTGTGCTGCTTTTACCCCTACCTCTCCCCAATCACTTCAATTTCTTTATAATGAAGAAGAAACATAGCTTGTCTTCTGTTGAACTTTGGTTCCAGCTGGCAGCTCTTATTTCTAAGTGATAGTGTGTATCAAAAGCTCAAAAGATTAGTGTTCTGTGGTAGTCTGTTTTAATTAACTTTTTAACTCCTCTTTCTAACTTTCTAGAGCTACCTCTTTGCCATAGGTGTAACTTTTTTCTTTCTCCATCTCAGAACTGTATCAGTAGAAACAGAGTGAAATAGCACCCAGCACAAAAAATGTAATTTAACAATCTGCATAATAAGATTTGATAAGTCTATCTTGAAAAAGGGCTTAAATGATTCACACACACCATGGAAAATCAGTGGAACTCAAAGCCATTTCAGAAATCCCATTCCTATTTGAAATTTAAATATCTAAATAAAAGTGCTCAGCTGCTCATAAAAATCTCAGTATTTCACACCTCTTAGTTTTAAGTACATAGCAAAGGCTGTGGGTGCTTCCACTCCTTGAAAGCTGCAGTCTTGTGTGGACTTCAACCATCCTTTCTAGACAGCACTTACTAATGCTGTAAAGAAATATTATTTTCAAAATAGACATCAGAATGGCCGCGGGCCTTTTACAGGGGTGCTGCAATGATTGATTGATGGCTTGTCTTCACTAACGAAGATTTGGGAAGGGCTTTACCCATGCTTACTACAAGCGCAATTATGACTAAAAGGGCAATGTGGGATAGGCAAATCCAGTTGGAAAAAAGGCCGCTTGCTCATTCAGGATGTTTCCGAACAAGACTTTCATCTCCTGGGTCAATCTCGAGTGATCAATGTCCTGAACAGCCTACATGCAGCGTTGGGTCTGCGGCTTCCAGTGCATGAGCAGGATTACTATTGCAACGACACAACATCAGTATGGTAAAACGTCTAAGCGGGATTCTGACTTAGAGGCGTTCAGTCATAAGCCCGCAGATGGTAGCCTCACACCACTGGCTCCTCTGCCAAGCGCAACAATAGGTAAAGAGTAAATACCTGTTTATTATAGCAGATGTGGAGAAAGTTTTTCATTTCTAAGTCCTACACATTAGCCACAGAGGCATTCCAGGACAGAGAGAATGAGGTACAGAGGGATGCCAAGTAGTCTGGGACCTGGCTGTGAGGAACAGCTAAGGTAGAGGCTGCAATCAGAAGACAGGAAAAACAAGCATCACTGCTGATCTGAAAGATTACAGAAAGGCCTCAGCTGAGACCATCAATGACACAAAAAAATCCAGTTGCACTCTGGAAGCTTAAGTCAAGCACAGCTAAAGATTCTGACAGGTCACTAAGACTGCAGTAAGCCGGCTGGCCACTCACTAGAAAAGTGCCAGCATACAACAAGAATGCATGCAGCAGCAAGACCTGCAGAAAAGCATTTCTCCTCGTGTATATACTACTCATCAGGGACAAATGTTACACAAGCCTGCAATCTGTGACACTGAGCCCTTCAACCGGGTCACAGTAATTGTAAGGGTGAGCATGTCCAGCACAGCTCCTTACAGACAAGTATCTTTATCCCACTGCCAACTTTCCAGATTTGACAGGCCATTCATATGCTGCTACAAAAAGGCACAAAACAGGTTTTTGGCAGTAGTCTTCCCTACAACCACATGAGAAATTTTAATGAAGTATTTATAAGCTGGTTTATAATGAAAGATACTTTTGTCAGAGAGCATTACTGACCTGCAGTGCTAACAAATTATTACCTAGTAAGCACAAAGTTCCATTTCATTTTTAGCATTGTCTACTTGGTATAAATTGCTAAGTTATTAAAGTATAATCCTCAAAATGGAACAACTCAAATTCTTCCTCCTTAAACATCAAGGACCTGGACAAACCGAAACCTATTTCCAAATGACATCTTGCTCTGATTTGGGAAAATCTGAATCACCTCTTTCTGGGTGCCTTTTCCTGAAGTGTACCCCAACTGTCTCCCAAGAACAGACTGAAAGGGCTGTTAACATTCATACCCAGTTTAGATATCTGACTTGCCACAAAGTAATTATTCCATTTGCTATGTATCTAAGATGTAATTAACAGCACATGTGATTGGGAGAGGTTCATTATATAAGTTGAATTCTAACACCTTTGCTCACTTCAAACAGTACCTTACTTTGAGAGTAATCACAGTGATTTCAATGGCACTACTTGCCAAACGGAGTACTCTTTAATAGTCATAGTGACCCAACTAGGTATGTTTTGTAGGGAACTTGGTCTTCACCTATGTTTTTAAATAGGCTGCACACACATCAGGATCTAGCATATATAAACAAACAAAATCCAGATTTCTCAGTGATAATGCACTATTTGCACAACATTTAGAATTACTTTTATCACCAGAATATCAAGTCCATCATATCTTCATAGTCTGCATATAGCCTCGCTAGATAATGAAATTGCTGCTATGGTTCCTGCTACTCCTATTTGAGACAGATATTCTAACCGCAAAGTTCACTTGCGAGCTTCTCTGATGATTCTGGTTGGGAATGACAAAAGACAACTGAGATACCCTAGTCCCTTCTTCCTCGAAGTCAACTTAACAAACGCTATCCAGAGAGACAGAAAAATTTCAAAGCTCACCCTTCAGAGCAGTCGCACATACGCTCTATGCGCCCGCAGAATCAATTAATCTACAGTTCTTCTATTTCAATAGAAAACAGTAGACAGAACTACATAACGCAGCTGCCTTTCAAATGTACCATTAGTGTAGCTGCTATAAAGTCAGTGCCCAGAACTTACAGCCACCTGCTTCCACTGGAAGCAGACAGGTACTCATTTTCACTTCACAAATCACAGTTAACATTTAAACCAGAAAGACAAATGGCATAGCTAGGTCGCTAGAAAGAGAGGAAGAGATCTGGGAGGCAGGGATTTAGTTATCTCCTTTGCTCCTTTCCTGTGCTACCCAAAGAAGCCATCATTCTATACATCCCTCAGCTCTTCAGCTCATCAACAGTTCCTTCAGTCACACATGTTTTATGGCTATGACAGACCTTTTCATATGATATAGTATGGTAAAATAGGGAAATTCCCCTTGCATAGGTACACTTGTCTATAATAACTGAAAGCAGCTGTGATGTTTACAAGCATATTTTGATTTTAACTTATCAGGCATCAAACAAGCAGAAACATGAAAAGGGTATAATAGACCTGAATAAAAAAACTGCACCTTTGAAAGCTTGAAAGGTCAGAAACCCTAAACATGGAAATTGGAGCAAAACTGAAACCACCACACTGGGTACATCACCACTAATATCCTGCAGTTAAAACTAAGTCAGATAAACAGGTTATGCTCTGCTTACAAGATGCTAACCCAGCAGAGAAACATTTGAACATCACCAAACAGAAGGCGGAAAAAAAGTTTGGATAATGACTTTAGCTTGAGCTTTCTGTAATGGAAGCTCTGGATCTGAAGAAAAATATATCCTGAACAACTTGTTCTCCCCTCAAATATTAATCTGGGTGAATTCTTTCCACGGAAACTGGTAAGCCTACTCAGTCTGCAACTAAAACTTCAATTCATAATCAAGAAAACATACAAACCTTATTGCCTCCATCTTGATATTTTACCTCATGGATACTGTGTGGTAAAATAGTCTTCTCTGTTTAACAAAAAACTGCAAATTTTTAGAGACAGCATTTATTGCCTGTCTCCAAATCACACGCAGTGTCACACACATCCAATTAGTCACCTCAAGAAATGAAAAATAAAAGCTACAAGCATTACCATAGCAAGCAGGTAAAAGAACTTTTATATCCTATTTGTTCGCTTCCTTCTGAAAAACCATTCTTCTTCTGAAGAACCAATTCTCCTTTTACAGTTTCATCCTAGGAGGATGCCATAGACTGTGATGGACTAACATTTGATTTACACTTGCATGCACAAGCAGTAACTATTTGTTCCAGGGCTCTCAAGCCTTGTGCTAGAATATTTATGAATCTTCAACAGAGACTTTTGCCTAGATAGCTTTCCTTTCTCATAAATATCACAGTATTTGATCATCTCTTTTAGTAACATCAGAAAAGTTGCTAGAGGAATTGCTAATTGGTCCACTAAGACTAGCATTTGACCTCCATACCAAGGTAATGCTTTTGTTTCCAATGAATTCATCAGGTATGTGCCAACCATACCACGCCTTGATATTTTAATTCATATCCACAGCACATCAACTTTTTAAGCACTCCTTACCACTCAAGCAAGTACTTACAGGGTCAGAAGGACCACAAAAGTCTCTGAAGACTTTTAGAGGCTCAGGTTGTATAATCTCCATTGCTATGCAAGGGCCTGAACACAATTCTGTAACCATCTCCTGAAAGAGAAGAAAGACAAACAAATCTGAGCTTCCTTGGGCATTAGCAAGGGTTCTATTCCTCCCCAAAATTAGACCCAAGCTTACAGGACAGGAACAAGTAAGAAGTATTGGTGCATTAGGGAAAGCAAAGACATTAAACAAATACATCGTGAATACAGAATACAACAAATACAACATTTTGCTTCTTGGTTTAGGAGGTGGAAATTGAGGTTAAATTGGATATTCGCCTTCAACAGGATACTGAATAACATCCCCAATACTTCAAATTCTTTTGTGGGTATATCCTTATTGATCTGGACCTGGATTTCACAGCAGTGTCCCGTAACTTGTCAAACTAGACTAAATCAATAGAATATACTTTACTGGGCACAAGCATGAAAAATCACACTGTGTTCAGCCAGTTCCACAGGCAGCAATGTACTTTGCAGTGTTCCATACAGGAAGCACAGTACGCAGCCTAAATTTGTTTCCAAGTATGCATTCTTTCGATGGCTTTTAGTCATTAAAATGTCTTTTGGGCTTTTGGTTTTCACTGTCTTTTCCTCACGCATTACTACAGAAGCTGAAACACACAAAGCCAACAGAAGCTGTGCCTGTGGCACAAGCTGTTAGGGAAAGGGTACTTAATCTGGCAACATTCTTGAAGTGTACTGTTACCAGAATCTCAGTTACACCAAAATCATCTGCTTCCCTGTAACCTCCTGGGGAGTAAAGAGACATAGTGAGTTCTAAGTGGATGATGAAGATGGGTCTTAGTTTTCATAACCTTAAATTAACTCTGGCCATTAGTGCAATTTAGAGTCTGTTAATAAGAGGTATAGGTTTCACAAGCAGAAAGAATCTATTTTGATGTTCTAGTCTGACTTCTTTTTTTAAATCATGCCCTTATAATTGTACACTTGTCTAGAAATCTGGCCAGGCAAGTTTTAAACAAATCAGGACAATTAACAGAATCAAAACCAAGGAGGAAAGAGGAAAGGAGAAAACATTCTCAGGAAACAAAGGACAGAAAAGGATAAAGTAAAGTACTGCAATCACACCCACCAACCACGGGCAGGTCAAGGATGAGTAATAGCAAAGAACAAGAGCATAGAGAGTGGGTAAAAAAGCAGCAGGAAAAGAAGGATTAAGTCCTCTGCCATTTATGAATTGCGATGGAAACTAAACACACAAAGACTCCAAATTGATCAACATTGTTAAAAAGTGCTGCTATCTTCAGAATGAATTCCATGCTGAAAGCATGGCCTTAGTCTCTCCACTTAAAGTCAGGAGGACAGCATTTCAGCCAAGTGCCTCTATCATTAACCTGATCCTACAAAATGTAGGTAGAAGCATTCAGGAGAAGGCATGGAAGGAGTGCAGAATAGTTTCATGGTCTATAATAGGAATAAATATTTTATGACAAAAAAAACTGTCTTATCACCAGCAGATTCTTTTTAACAACAGGTCAGTGGGCAATATATTTCATTCTATTAAGAAACAGTAAATTGCCACAGTCACTACTCTGTACAGCTTCATTGAATTCTGTCATCTAAATACCTATTAACAGGAAAGTGGAAAAAAAGCATGCTTTTAACTTTAATTGAATCAACTGAATTCCTCCCTGAAAAATGTGGGTTGTTTTATTTTTTTTTGTTGTTTCTCCCTTTTCTATTGTTTCTGTATCAGCACTGACGTCCCACCTGCAACTGCAAACAACATGAGCCAAGTTACTCCTGACTCCTTCATTACGACAGAAAGCTGATGAGTCAAGAGCAGATGCCATCAAGTATGGCTCAGAGACAAGCGGTACTATGTGAGGCAAGCTTGAACTACCTTATGCAGTCTCACTGAGTCCACAGTTGAATTTAACTAGCAGACACTGTTTCTTCAGTAAGACTCCCAGTTGCAGCTAAATCAAGTTTTCTTTAGCAAATAGTTTATTCACCAAATAACGTGGTTTGTGGTCAATCAAAACAGTTCCTGGAGCTGGATCAAGCTCAAACACTGAGCTGACCCAAAAGAATGTCCCTCCTTTTTTCTCCATGTTCTATTCTGGTCAACGGAGCTGTCTGCCTTAGTCGATGAGGAACGGGTTAAGGACCAGTTGAGCAATCTGGACATCCATAAATCCATGGGTCCAGATGGGATGCACCCGCGGGTGCTGAGGGAACTGGCAGAGGTCATTGCTAGACCACTCTCCATCATCTTTACCAAGTCTTGGGAAACGGGAGAGGTGCCTGAGGACTGGAGGAAAGCAAATGTCACTCCTGTCTTCAAAAAGGGCAAGAAGGAGGACGCGGGTAACTATAGACCGGTCAGCCTCACCTCCATTCCTGGGAAAGTGATGGAACACCTTATCCTTGGTGCCATCTTAAGGCATATCAGGGATAAGAGGGTTATGAGGGGCAGTCAACATGGCTTCACCAAGGGGAAGTCATGCTTGACCAATCTCGTAGCCTTTTATGAGGAAATAACACGGTGGATGGATGATGGCAGAGTGGCGGATGTGGTCTACCTTGACTTCAGCAAAGCGTTTGACACAGTCTCCCACAGCATCCTCGCAGCTAAATTGAGGAAGTGTGGTCTGAATGATCGGGTAGTGAGGTGGACTGTGAACTGGCTGAAGGAGAGAAGCCAGAGAGTTGTAGTCTATGGGGCGGAGTCTAGTTGGAGGCCTGTATCTAGTGGAGTGCCTCAAGGGTCGGTACTGGGACCAGTATTATTTAATATATTCATCAATGATTTAGATGAGGGAATTGAGTGTACTATCAGCAAGTTTGCTGATGACACTAAGCTGGGAGGAGTGGCCGACACGCCAGAAGGCTGTGCTGCCATCCAGCGAGACCTGGACAGGCTGGAGAGTTGGGCGGGGAATAACTTGATGAAATACAACAAGGGAAAGTGTAGAGTCCTGCATCTGGGCAGGAACAACCCCAGGTTCCAGTATAGGTTGGGGAACGACCTGTTAGAGAGCAGTGTAGGGCAGAGGGACCTGGGGGTCCTAGTGGACGACAGGGTGACCATGAGCCGACACTGTGCCCTTGTGGCCAAGAAGGCCAGTGGCATCCTGGGGTGTATTAGAAGGGGGGTGGTTAGTAGGTCGAGAGAGGTCCTCCTTCCCCTCTACTCTGCCCTGGTGAGACCTCATCTGGAATATTGTGTCCAGTTCTGGGCCCCTCAGTTTAAGAAGGACAGGGACCTGCTGGAGAGAGTCCAGCGCAGGGCAACTAAGATGATTAAGGGAGTGGAGCATCTCCCTTATGAGGAAAGACTGAGGGAGCTGGGTCTCTATAGTTTGGAGGAGACTGAGGGGTGACCTTATTAGTGTATATAAATAGATAAAGGGGGAGTGTCACGAGGATGGAGCCAGGCTCTTCTCAGTGGCAAACAATGATAGGACAAGGGGAAATGGGTACAAACTGGAACACAAAAGGTTCCCCTTAAACTTGAGAAGAAACTTCTTCTCAGTGAGGGTGACGGAACACTGGAACAGGCTGCCCAGGGAGGTTGTGGAGTCTCCTTCTCTGGAGACATTCAAACCCGCCTGGACACGTTCCTGTGTAACCTTATCTAGGTGTTCCTGCTCCGGCAGGGGGATTGGACTAGATGATCTTTTGAGGTCCCTTCCAATCTCTAACATACTGTGATACTGTGATACAGTGGAAAACAGAATGCAAAACAGCATAAAACCTAATCAATAGTATGCAAAATTTCATGCAGGAGGTACCAACAAAGCTAACATTTTGGACAGTTGTTTAGCTTTCTCTTTTCACAGAGAAATGCTTTATATAAAACACAAAGCCTTCATCTGATTGACTTCACCAGAAGAAAGGAGAGTATAGTTTTTGAAAAGGATTTCTGGATGCCAAGTACCTTCTGCACCAAGTTATTTTCAAATGATAAATAAAACTCAGATCAAAACAGATGGTTCTGAGTCACAGATATAAGAGGTCATATTCTTTATTCAATATCCTATTTCGCAACATATTTCTTCCTATTTGGCCTGCACTGACAGTATCTATCTCTGTTTCCATATGTGCCTTCTCTGGATTCTGTTGCCATCATCATTAGCTTTCCCACGTTTTCCTGTTTCACGGATATCCTGAATGCATGGAGATATTAATTTCATTTCAACTGAGTGCATCCAGCACATATGGCTTGCAGGACAGAGCCCTAGATTCTCACTTTTCTTCAAATTCCATCTACAACGTATCTGCTTTATTGACTTACCCTGTTTAAATGTCACCTTGCCTTCTGAGTAACTCTCAAATTATATAGCTAAAATTTGCAACTTATTAGGGGGTCAGAGACTGTACAAGAGTTGCAGAAGATGATAGAGCATTTCCGATTTGGTTCAAAGCAGAGACTTTTGCAGTACCAGGATTCCTCAGGCCCTGAAATACTGGTCAGGTATCACCATATTTGAGTTCTGACACGTACCCACAAGTCTGTTCATCCAATCTTCCTTTGGTCCTTGCCAAAACCAGTGTTATCAGAGGAGACTTTAAGAGTATTCTCCAATCTGAGAGTAAACTAACAATTTAAAGACAATTCCACGGACCCTGTTGAAGTTAGACTAAACGTTCATACAGAGGGAGGCGAGGGGGAACAAAAATGTCATGATCAGAGTAGTATTAGCAACTAAAGCAGTAACAGTAACTGTGTAGAAAACGTTTAAAAACTTAAACATTTAAAAATTAAGGATAACCTGCATAGTACATGACAGCAGTAAAGGTAAACTTATTACTATTTGTAAAATGAACCAAAATTCTCTGACAGATGGTTACATAGAAATGCAAGCTTGTCTTCTTGTATTCATTTTGTTCCGCCTGCAGTCAGGAAGCTCTATGTGACAGTACAACAAGGCATAATAATATATAGAGTCTTAGACATCCATTTGTATTACAGCATATCTTAAACTTCTCAAATTTTCTGAAGATTACAGAATTCAGATCAATAAACTTAACAGCTAAACAATGCCATCAGGAAAGCATTCAAATATAGTAGCCCCATTGCAAACAAAATAATAAATCTATATTCTGGTCCAAGCCACAGCTGCAATATCAAGTCAAAAGACGTTACAGAAGTGACACACTCTCATAGCTCTACTACAATAAAATAACTTATCTGAGGGGGGAAGGACTTCATTCTGTTGCATTTTATGAATCCCTTGGCTGAAGAATTTCCACAGAAGATTCTCCTTTCTTACAACATAGACAGCATAATTTTCAAGACGAGTTAGCTTATTTGAGAACAAATTAGAACCACTCAATACCAGGTCCATAAAATACATCCTCTCACAAGCCCAAAAAAGGACCATTTCCTTATTTTATCTTATTTTAAACAGATTCTTCTCAACCTTATGCTTACCATGTATTCAGAGACGACACCTTTGTAAACCTCATAAAATTCTTCCACATTTGCACGTTCTATATTGAACTAAGAAAACAAAAATGTTAGCCAGTCTGCCTTAAACAATAACAAAACACAGACACATACCCCTTCTTAGCCAGCCAACTTTCAGAATACACTTTTAAGTTTTAATATGCAAAAGGAATGGTTTTATAGCTACAATATGAAGTTTGTCAACAACATAGCAAATGACACCACAGACAACATAGCAGACAGTATCTTCTTCCACCTTAAATATAAGTAGACAGTGTAGTGTTGGCTGATGCCACTAAGACATGCAAGAGGATCCGTTTGTTGCATAGTAAAGGAAAGGGTCTAATCTTCATTTGTGGTGGGGATTTGGGTCACAGGGGGATTTCAGATCCCGAGACTTCCACAAAAATCAAAGTACAGGACTACTCTTGGGAACAATCTCTGTGCCAACTTCCTTTAACTGTTGAGTGCGATTGGGGTGTCAAAAATCCTTTAAGTATCTTTTAAAACCTTCCCCAAAATCACAATAAATATATATTAAGAAAAATTAAGGGAGAATATTAACCATCTTTTATTTAATCTTGGATTAATTTTGTAAAATTTTGTAAAGATATCTCAAATTGCTTTTCAATAGACAAAAATAATTACCCTGCTTCTAATCATAGGAAAAGTAAGACACACAGGGCTAAAGTATCTTGCCTCAAGGTCACTCAGCAACAGAAAACAGAGTAGCTGATCAATTCAATAATAAAACACTAATATCACAAGGACAATGCCGATCCCAAGACATTGCTGCACAGTCTGCACAAAAGTTTTATATTGCAGGAAGACACCTATGTGTTGCTGTGAAGCACATACAGCACTTCTCCAACTTCTGTTTATCAGAAAAACATACACAAAAGGAAACCCACCATCTGCAGAGCTGAGATCTGAAATCCTTCATTGATGATGGCTTTTATAATCTTTCCAGCTAGCCCTGAAGAAACATACATGAGACAGTATCCCATTTTAAAAAGCGTAATTTACAACTAGAAGGCATTTATGTCAACATATCACTTTCAAAAGCGTGTCATGATGTGAGAGGAAGCAGAGAGCAGAGCTAAGTTCATATACTCTATATCCCGTATAGTGACATGCTGACAGTTCAACAACTAAATTCCATGCAGCTGAAAAGAATCTCTACCTAAAAAAAGGTAGTAAGTGAAGCCTTTGCTTTTCTCAGTCCAATTGCAAAACACCCAGTTACTGCAAGATCAAGATTTCTATTTTTAATGAAGTTCTACTGGCGATACTGATGCTTACACAGTAATCAATCCAGGGCACAGGCTGCCTATTTTACCTTGCTTTTTTTTTTTTTTTTTTTTTTTTAAGTACAGAGTTCACCAGAGCAGGGGTCTTACTTTAATTCAGAAGCAATGTAGGATGATAATAAATATTGTCAATAAACCAGCACAAAAGTTCATGTGTTCTGTGGGGAAAAAAATTCAGTGCAAAATAAGCTAGCGTTTCTAAGGTTATAGCTCACAAACATGCTATTACTGACTGCACTGCTTGCACTACTCCCTCCAGAACGCATCATCAAAGACTGAATGACATTGTAAGAAAAACCCCACTAAACTTCTGAGAACAAGAACCATTGATTTTCCACTGAATGTGTATTTTAGATTTGCCTGTGCTTACAAGGTTAGTCCATTTTGAAAACTGTCAGCCAAGCACAGTACACTGTGTGAGTGAATTTCATAGAATCACCATATTTATAGAATGTAAATGCCTGTCCTATAGTACAATTTGTAAGAAACTACAAATTCCTGGACATTTATTTAGAACAGAATTTGATAGGTTTATGGAGTAACAGAAATTATAGGGTATTAAAGAATACCCTGTAATGAATGACAACAGCATGATTTGACTCCTGGTCATTAAATCCTTTTATTAACTAGTCTTTAAACAGCAGGATTTTTTAGCACTGCATAAATTTAGTAGATGAGAATATAACCAAAGCTAGCATCTAGGTTCTAGCATGCTCAAGACCTTGAATTGTATAGTATGCTAACACCTGTCACAGAATCATAGAATAGTTGGGGTTGGAAAGGACCTTAAGATCATCAAGTTCCAGCCCCCCTGCCATGGGCAGGGACACCTTACACTAAACCATGTCACCCAAGGCTCTGTCCAGCGTGGCCTTGAACACCACCAGGGATGGAGCATTCACAACTCCCCTGGGCAACCCATTCCAGTGCCTCAGCACCCTCACAGTAAAGAACTTCCTCCTTATATCCAATCTAAACTTCTCCTGTTTAAGTTTTAACCCATTACCCCTTGTCCTATCACTACAGTCCTTAATGAGTAGTCCATCTCCACATCCCTATAGCCCCTCTTCAGATACTGGAAGGCTGCTATGAGGTCTCCACGCAGCCTTCTCTTCTCCAGGCTGAACAGCCCCAACTTTCTCAGCCTGTCTTCATACAGGAGGTGCTCCAGTCCCCTGATCATTCTCGTGGCCCTCCTCTGGAATTGTTCCAACAGTTCCATGTCCTTTTTATGTTGAGGACACCAGAACTGCACACAATTCTCCAAGTGAGGTCTCACGAGAGCAGAGTAGATGGGCAGGATCACCACCTTTGACCTGCTGGTCACTCTCCTTTTGATGACAGCCCAGAATGTCACAGCCCAGAATGTCATAGGATTGGTGAGTTTCCTATGACATTAAAAGATCGGTGGAAGCTATGAGTAAATGAGACAGATAGCTGGAGGGCTTTCAAAACTTGTATTTACTAATGAAAATGAAAAAACCTACCCCTGAAGTATCCCCCACTGTATTTTCACATTCAGATTTAGGTAGAAAAGTCTCCCCCGTATAAACCAGTGCATACATCTTCCAAAATCTTCAAACTACTGAAGGAAAAACAGATATTTTGATACATACTGTGGCCATGCAGCTCTTGCTGCATGGCATGTGCAGTTCCTGTCCCATTATGCTGTTAACAACATGGCCCGCTAGCCCTGATAAGTTTTCTTATAACAGTCCTGTGAAACTGGTGAATAAAATTCCACATTTTTTCAAGGTGAAAAAAAAAATACCAGCAGCAAGAAAAACAAAGGGACTTGGACAAGTTTGCCCAGGAAATACAAGACCACATCAGCAAGAGAAATCAGACCTTTGGTTTCTTTTTGTCCTCACTGCTGGAAATGCTGAGCAGCTCAGATGCTTCCACACAGATCTGCTCACAGACTGAGGCAGTGAGCCTACAGTCTTGACTTCAGAGATGAATGGCCAGTTTATAAGAAGATTAAATGACTGGCTGGGGATCATTCAGGAAATAAATAAATGAATAAATCTCTGTGACAGAGCATAAACATTTCCTTATTCTTGATCTTCAGAGCAAAGTATCCAGCCAACAGCCACTGCTTCACCAGAAACCAACAAAGATGAAGAAAGGGCACTGGCAGACAAATGGCAATTGCTGCTTGCAGGGACAAGGCTATGAGAAAGGTATGGAAAAGCTGCTCTGCCCAACTGCTCTGCCCAAACTCCATTTTACACTTGAACAGGTAAGAACGGGCCATTCTCACAGCTTTCACAGCCTGCAAACATCTAACTAAAACAAATCAGGTATTGGGCCCTAGATTCTATGGATCTGCCTTTTACAGAACTCTTGTCCTCAGCAGTTTTACCAGCCATTAGCAAAATCAGTGCTTGAGAGAAATGAAGGGGGACTCAAATATTCAGCTTTCTGCACCATTTCTCTACTGAAGTCATTAAGATTTTTCTTCTCTGCAGAGAAGACAGGCTCCTTTAATGATAGAAAAAGAAGTAGGATGCATAAAATTTTGCATAAAGGTCTTTACTGCAAGGTTCCTTTAATAATTAGGTGTGATAAACCTATCAAGATTTTCCTCAACATTGTATTCCTGAGTTCACTCTCATTCATCAGAGCAACACAACACCTTGTTGCTCCAGAGACATTGCCCACAACTGCAACACCCAGAAGGCTTAAGCAAAGGAATTATTATCAGCATTGTACACAGATAGATGCCTTGCCAAAAAACTTCCAAGTACTGTGAGGAAGAGGCATGTAATCTCATTTATGTTTGCAAAGCAGGATATTAAGCCAACTTTCCAAACGTGGAAACTGAAGCATAAGAGGGTAAGCAAGTTGCCAGTGGCAGTACAGATCTACAAAGCCAGTGACTTGGCCTCCCTTGTCCCAGTTTAGGCAATACACACATCACTTCTCCTAAGGACACTTTCCTTTCAAATTCTACCTGAACCAAAATAGAAATAGAAGGCAGAGAGGCAATCCCCAAGCAACAGAACAGTAGAAGCTCAAGGCTCAGCTTGGGATCTGCTTCAAGCTTTCAGCCAGTTGCATGACTGAATTAGGACGTGTCCTTTCCTCTGTAGGCATATAAGGCTGAGGAAAAAAAGAACTAATTAGATAGACTGCTATTTCAACAGCTTTAAACAATTTGTTTGCCACTTTAAAATCTAGATCTGTGGTAAAACACCAATTTTTTAACGACCCTTCAAACAGGGCCAGCACATGCTTAAAATGTGATTACTGTAAGAATCCAAATCAAAGCTAGAGATTAACTCCAGTTATGATGAATTTTCAGTCACAAAGCACAAAAGAATCACAAGCATTACTAAATACAACTGGGGGAATTTAACACTAATCCTAACAAATATGAGAGTGAGAGAGAGAGAGAAAGAGTGCACGGGCACAAGCTTTATGTCTCCTAGGCAGCATTATTATGTTACTACACACCTAATGTAGGATGGATAATTTTGCAACACATTTTTATCAGCTAAAATGATAAGGCACCAAGACCTCCTCAGTTACACTGAACATCTACAGTTTGTTGCTTTACAACACACAGTATTTGAAAATTGTCCTTCACTAAGAAGCAGAAAGCAGCAGGGAAGACATCACACTGATAATGTTACAACTGTTTGCAGAATTATGGATTGGAAGGAAATCCAACAGCTCATGAAAGTCACTTTTAACCTAACAGCACTTTAATTAATGGAGGTAACATCTATGTTGCCAGGACCTGCCAGTCCCAGCGCACTACAACCCACCAGCCCTACAACTAAGGATGTTACATTCTATTCCCTTTGTTCTTGGCTTATTTCCCAATTTAACCATTCACTGTTAAAAGCGTATTAAGCAAGACACAAACCTGCCTTCAAAGTCAAGAACTAGCTCTCTCATTTTAACCTTTATATATCATTTTTAATACCTTTCCAATAAATAAAATTATTTCCCCTGGAACAACAACCAGTTTTTTGACAGGAATATACAGACTGCTGTGACTGATCAGATCAATGAACCACCTAACTCAGTAACATATTTCTAGAAGTAACCAGCAACAGATGCATAAAGTAGCACTAACTATAAATAGCAATGTCATTTCATGTCTATTTTTGACATTTTAAAATTAAATTTTGCAGATAATGAAATTACCTGACTCCTTACTTCCAAGTGTTACAGTCCTGTCCCAAAACTCCAGAGAATCATGATCAGGTATGACTTCAAGCAAAATCCTTTTTGAATTCCAGAAGAGCAAAGAGTGGGATTGAGAGCAGGGCCCTTCTGCAATATATTTCTGCTGAAGTTCTCACTAATCTTTGCTTCAGAAAACATTGCAAAACACTGTGCAGTAAGAAGCTGACAGATGTTGTTCTCAAATAGTGCACTTCTTCCTATCAGTTAGTCAACCTATCCCCTGAAGAACAGGGTTTCTCTATCTCTTCTCTTTTGGTTTTTCTACTTAGTAATAAAACAACTCTAGGCATTCTTACTACGCAACATAAACACACCATTTCTACACTGGCCAAAAGCATGGCCATAGTTATAATCTGTAGCTATTGATCTCCCAGCCTCACTGCCTACTGTATGAAAAATGTATCCAGTCATTTTTGTATTTGTACTCTGGAGCAGCGAGTCACAGAGGGTCTCCTTAGTGACAGAC